TGATTAGTTTAGATGGAAATATTTTTGGGTTGGTTTGTGTGTGTACAATGGGATGCACATTTACCAATAAAAATTGAACCTTCCAAGCTTTACAACAGTCTCCTCTATGAGCAGTCAGGAAGCTGAAAAATTCCTTGTCACCTCTCCTGAAATGGAATTTTACTTTTCAATTCCTTTCCAAGTAAATTTTCAAGATTTTGACATTTCATCCAGCTTTGGGACAAAACATTTTGTTCAAAACTTCACAGTTTTAATGGAAAGAGATCCCCTCCTTTTCAACCTGAGCATCTCTGCAATGGCTGAGATTTTTAACACCACCTCAAAGGCCAGGATGCATAATTCTCCTTGGGTTTAATGGGTGTCCTGGTCCATTTGATGACCCTGAAATTCTTCCAGTTATATTGATCATCACTAAGTATGTTGGGCTGTCACCGGCAATTTACAGGCAATAAAGATGAGGCACTTTCAGAGGCAGAAATGTCAAACAAGTAGCTTCTTGAATCAATTGGAATTTTAGGTTCTGTGTGCCATGCAGGAGAATGCCTTCCATATGTAGAGGACAGTAGGCTATTCAAGGAATAGAGGTCTGAGTCCTATGGTGTGGAGAGGGGTGAGCCCAGATTGCAGAGGAGCATGAGCCAGATACACCTCTACCCCGATATAACGCAACCCGATATAACATGAATTCAGATATAACACGGTAAAGCAGTGCTCCGGGGGTGCTGGGCTGCACGCTCTGGCGGATCAAAGCAAGTTTGATATAACGCGTTTTCACCTATAATGCGGTAAGATTTTTTGGCTCCCGAGGACAGCGTTATATCGGGGTAGAGGTGTATTTATACCCTGCAAGTGCAAAGGCAGTATCTTCCTTCTCAGACCCTTTTTCATTCCTGCGTTATCAGCTGCGATTATTATGGACTAATTTAGATGGAATAAATGGGCCAAAGGTGTGATCATAACAATTGATCATAGATAAATAAACAAATGCTTATGAACAAGTGGGCTATGCAGCAGATAGACCAAAATTTAGATAAAGTAAGTGGGGAAAAGTGCTTTGCCATGATACTAAGCAGGCTGGGGTGTCTGTGTTCCACACCCTAAACCTTGTTTAACACTGTTTAATGCTGGCCAAAGACTCCTTTGTTAATCCCTTTAGCCCATTTGTTTCATTTATCTTAGTACAATAGGGCTGAGGAGAGTCAATGCACAGTAAGGGTTGCAAATTAGCCTGGTTTCGCCCCTTCCTAAAATCCACCCCCAAATGAAATGCATTATAATACTGTGATATAGTTAATATCAGGAATTATCATCTGAAACATAAAATACATTTTCAGCTCCTCCCAACACTTTCCATAATCATAATAATCGTCCTCGTAATTATCTTTATTATGTTTTTGTATTACATGACCTAAGAAAGAGTTTTGTCCACTTCGCCATTTATGGCAAAACTGATCTCATGTGGGAGGGTGAAAATCAATATTCCTTTGCATATGGAACAATAAACATTCAGTAAGTAGGTATACGGTGGGAATAATTACCATTAATTTTAATGGAAGATATGTGCTAAACACATTATACTGGATTGAAACACTTATGTCAAGATTTAGTTGATATTGATTTTGTTTCCTCCAATACTCAACATTCTGGCCATTGTCAACAGTGTGATTTTGCATTTCAGCATAAATTTTCTGCCCCAAAAAGTTAGTCTCTAAGGTGCCACAAGTACTCCTGTTCTTTTTACTAGATAGGAGATTATAGTAGAGAAACATTTTTTCTGATCTCTCTACTTTGGCTACCAGAGAAATGGACTGTTATTTTCACCGTTGTTGATCTGATATTGCATGAGGTGATATAAACATAAGAACGGCCAAATTAGATGAGACCAAAGGTCCATCTAGACCAGAATCCTGTCTCTGACAGTGGCCAGTGCCAGAAGCTGCAGAGGGAACAAACAAAACAGGGAAGTTCTGAGTGATCCTTCCCTTGTTGTCCACTCCCAGTTTCAGGCAGTTATAGTTTTAGGGACATCTGGAGCATGGGGTTGTGTCCCTGACCATCTCGACTAATAGCCATTGAGTCACCTATCCTTCATGAACTTATCTAATTCTTTTTTGAACCCAGTTATACTTTGGACTTTCACATCATCTCCTGGTAACAAATTGCACAGGATGACTGTGCATTGTGAGAAGATGTACTTCCTTATGTTTGTTTTAAACCTGCTGCCTATTCATTTTATCAGGTGACCCCTAGTTTTTGAGTTATATGAAGAGGTAAAAAATACTTCCCTATTCATTTTCTCCACACCATTAATGATTTTATAGACCTCTATCATATCCCCCCTTAGCCATCTCTTTTTTAATCCGAACAGCCCAGGTCTTTTCAATCTCTCCTCATATGAAAGCTGTTCCTTTCCCCTAATCATTTTTTTTAGCCTTTCTCTGTACCTTCTCCAGTTACAATACATCTTTTTTTAAATGGGAAAACCGGAACTGCACACAGTATTCAAGGAGTGACTGTACCATGAATTAATATAATGGCATTGTGATATTTTCTGTTTTATTCTCTATCCCTTTCCTAAAGGTTCCCAACATTCTATTCACTTTTTTGGCTGCCACTGCACACTGAGTGGATGTTTTCAGAGATCTATCCACAATGACTCCAAGAGCTCTTTCTTGAGTGGTAACAGCTAATTTTGTATGTAGAATTTGGATTATTTTTTACAATTTGAATTACATTAGACCTTCACTATAATCATCTTTGCAATAGCAAATCTTGGGCTATAGTGAACATGGTCTCTGGATCACACCTCCAGCCCTGCTCACTGTGAGTGGCTGAGAGCTCCTCCAAACCCGGGGCTGTGGTGGGGGGCAGAGGAGTGCTGTCATCTGAAGCCTCAGCCCTAGGGCCAGAAGAGGAGGCACACCCATATCTGCTGCCCTGGGGTTGAAGGAGCTGCCCCCTCACTATAACGAACCCCTAGCTGTACCAAACAAATGGCTTGGATCCTTAGAGGTTCATTATAGTGAGGACGTACTGTAATTTTCACTTTTCAACACTGAATTTTGCCTGCCATTTGTTGCCCAGCCACCCCAGTTTAGTCAGCTCCCTTTGTTACTCTTCTGACATCATAAGAACATAAGAAAAGCTATACTGGGTCAGACCAAAGGACCATGTAGCCCAGTATCCTGTCTTGCAACTGTGGCCAATGCCAGGTGCCTCAGAGGGAATGAACAGAACAAGTAATCATCAAGTGATCCATCCCCGTAACTCATTCCCAGCTTCTGGCGAACAGAGGCTAGGGACACCATCCATTCCCATCCTGGATAATAACCATTGATGGACCTATCCTCCATGAATTCATCTAGTTCTTTTCTTGAACGCTGTTATAGTCTTGGCCTTCACAACATCTTCTGGCAAAGAGTTCCACAGATTGCCTGTGCGTTGTGTGAAAAATACTTCCTTTTCTTTGTTTTAAACCCGCTGCCTATTCATTTCATTTGGTGACCCCTAGTTTTTGTGTTATGAGAAGTAAATAACACTTCCTTATTTACTTTCTCCACACCAGTCATGATTTTATAGACCTCTATCATGTCCCCTTAGCCATCTCTTTCCCAAGCTGAATAGTCCGAGTCATTAATCTCTTCTCATGTAGAAGCTGTTCCATACCCCTAATCATTTTTGTTGCCCTTTTCTGAACCTTTTCCAATTCCAATATATCTTTTTGAGATGTGAATGATCACATCTGCACTCAGTATTCAAGATGTGGGCATACCACATGGATTTATATAGAGGCAATATGATATTTTCTGTCTTATTATCTTTTCCTTTCCTAATGATTCCCAACATTCTGTTAGCTTTTTGAATGCCACTGCACAATGAGTGGATGTTTTCAGAGAACTATCCACAATGACTCCAAAATCTCTGTCTTGAGTGGTAACAGCTAACTTAGACCTCAGCACTTTATATGTATATTTGGCATTATGTTTTCCAATGTGCATTACTTTGCATTTATCAACATTGAATTTCATCTGCCATTTTGTTGCATAGTCACCCAGTTTTGTGAGATCCCTTTGTAACACTTCACAGTCTTCTTTAGACTTAACTATCTTGAGTAGGTTTGTATCATCTGCAAATTTTACCACCTTACTGTTTACCCTTTTCCAGATCATTTATGAATATGTTGAACAGCATTTGTCCCAATACAGACCATTGGGGGACACCACTGTTTACCACTCTCCATTCTGAGAACTAACCATTTATTCCTACTCTTTGTTTCCTATATTTTAACTAGTTACCGAGCCATGAGAGAACCTTCCCTCTTATCCCATGGCAGCTTATTTTGCTTAAGAGCCTTTGGTGAGGGACCTTGTCAAAGGCTTTCTGAAAATCTAAGTACACTATATCCACCGGATCTCCCGTGTCCCCATGCTTGTTAAACCCCTGAAAGAATTCTAGTAGATTGGTGAGGTATGATTTCCCTTTCCAAAACCATGTTGACTCTTCCCAACAAATCATATTCATTTATGTGTCTGATAATTCTGTTCTTTACTATAGTTTCAAACAGTTTGCCCAGTACTGAAATTAGGCTTACTGGTCTGTAGTTGCCAGGATTGCTTCTGGAGACTTTTTAAAAATTGGTGTCACATTAGCTATTCTCCAGTCATCTGGTACAGAAGCTGATTTAAATGATAGGTTACATACCACACACATACATACCTGTGTCTGTATCATCACACCTTCCTGCGAACCCCTTCACCGCAGGGAGGGAGAAGTCATTTTCTACCTGCTCCTTTAACTGAAGGGACATCAGGGTTCAGTTCTAGGCCTGAGACACTTGCCCCTGAGGTCTAACTTTAGACATAAAACTAGGGCTAGTAACTAGGAGAGGGAAAGGAGTTTTTGCACATTTATGGATTTAAGTGATGACACTTGATTAACTTTTAACTCTGTGTTCTTCTGATTCGATTGCACCATTTGTTTTATGCTCCTAGTCTCAGCCCATGGCAGACACAGACTGGGGAAATCAAACGGACATAAAATTCATTCTCCTTGGATTCGGGAATCTCCCTGATCAGAACATTTTTCTCTTCCTGCTGTTTCTAGTAATCTACATCACAACCGTGGCTGGGAACACCCTCATCATTACGCTAGTTGTGGCTGATAAGCAACTTCACACTCCCATGTACTTCTTCCTGGGGAACTTGTCTTCCTTGGAGACCTGCTACACCTCAACCATCCTGCCTAGGATGCTGACCAATCTCCTGACTGGGAACAAAACCATCTTTTTCAATGGCTGCTTCACACAATTGTATTTTTTTGGTGCTCTGGCCTCTACAGAATGCTATCTCCTAGCAGCCATGTCTTATGATCGGTATTTAGCGATATGTAAACCTCTGCACTATTTAGCTCTTATGAATACCAGGTTTTGCCTCCAGTTGGCTACTGGATCATGGTTAAGTGGGTTTTTGGCTACTGCCATCTTTGTATTATTCATGTCACAGCTAATATTCTGTGGCCCGAATGAAATTGACCATTTTTATTGTGATCCTGTCCCACTGATAAAACTCGGCTGTGGTGACAAATATCTGATGGTGTTGTTGGATTTTATAATGGCCTGTGTATTTACCCTGCCTCCATTTCTACTAACCTTGACATCCTATGTTTGTATCATCACCACCATCCTGAGAATCCCTTCTGCCACTGGGAGGCAGAAGGCCTTTTCCACCTGCTCCTCTCACCTCATAGTGGTGACAATTTTCTATGGGACTATATTGATTGCATATACGCTATTGAAACTCGACACACTGAGAGTCCTAAACAAAGTGCTCTCTCTTTGCTATACAGTCCTGACTCCCCTGGTTAACCCCCTCATCTACAGCCTGAGAAACAGAGAGTTCAAGAACGCCTTGAGCAAAGCAGTCAGTAAATATGTGGCTTTCCTAAAAAAATAAAGCAAATCATAGACAATAATTAGGGTCCACATTTTTAAAGGTGTTTAAGTGCCAAGTGGGAGATTGGTGTTGGGCACCAAGATGCTTTTGAAACTCCTACTAGGCACCTAAAGTACCTTTGAAAACCTGCCCCTTAGCTTGAGGTTTTCAAAGCTACCTGGGTGATTTGGGCAAAAAGTCTCCATTGAAATTAAGTTGAAAACTGCCCTGGAAAATCTCAGCACTCACCTTAAAAGAGAAATGGAGATGTTCTGCATGGATTTACTGAGACAGAGCATTTATGGTCCTGTCCTGTGCCAATGTAAAACAGGACATAGGACAATGAGGTTCTGGACAGTTCTGTCAACCACTTCTGTTCAGCACTGATACATACAATATGATGGTATCTTTTCTCTTTGCGGGTGCCTAAACATTGGTCCTGGAAAAGGACACTGTATAGCATCTGATAGCGCAGAGAGCTGACATGTTGCATAAAGCACAAAATCCACTAAATATCAAAGCAAATCCCTGCATATATCCCCTATTTACTTTGTTGCTCTGTTGTTTGCAATGCGGTCGTGGATGTATTGTTCCCAGGATATTGTTTCTCTGTGTTAGATAATATAGTCTTGTAAACAAATGCAGAAAAATCTAATAAAAATATAAAATCATAGAATCATAGACTTTAAGGTCAGAAGGAACCATTATGATCACCTAGTCTGACCTGCACAATGCAGGTCACAGAATCTCACCCACCCACCCCTGTGTCAAACCTGTGTCTGAGCCATTGAAGTCCTCAAATCATGGTTTAAAGACTTCAAGGTGCAGAGAATCTTCCAGCAAGTGACCCGTGCCCCACGCTGCAGAGGAAGGCAAAAAACGCCCAAGGCCTCTGGCAATCTGCCCTGGAGGAAAATTCCTTCCCGACCTCAAATATGGCCATCAGCTAAACCCTGAGCATGTGGGCAAGACTCACCAGCCAGACACCCAGGAAAGAATTCTCTGTAGTAACTCAGATCCCACCCCATCTAACATCCCATCGCAAGCCATTGGGCATATTTACCGCTAATATAAAAGACCAATTAATTGCCAGAATTAGGCTATCCCATCATACCATCCCCTCCACAAACTTATCAAGCTTAGTCTTGAAGCCAGATATGTCTTTTGCCCCCACTACTCCCCTTGGAAGGCTGTTCCAGAACTTCACTCCTCTGATGGTTAGAAACCTTCTTCTAATTTCAATCTAAACTTCCTGATGGTCAGTTTATATCCATTTGTTCTTGTGTCCACATTGGTACTTAAATAATTCCTCTCCCTCCCTGGTATTTATCCCTCTGATATATTTATAGAGAGCAATCGTATCTCCCCTCAGCCTTCTTTTGGTTAGGCTAAACAAGCCAAGCTCTTTGAGTTTCCTTTCATAAGACAGGTTTTCCATTCCTCTGATCATCCTAGTAGCCCTTCTCTGTACTTATTCCAGTTTGAATTCATCCTTCCCTAAACATGGGAGACCAGAACTGCACACAGTATTCCAGATGAGTTCTCACCAGTGCCTTGTATAACGGTACTAACACCTCCGTATCTCTACTGGAAATACCTCGCCTGATGCATCCCAAGACCGCATTAGCTTTTTTCACGGCCATATCACATTGACGGCTCATAGTCATCCTGTGATCAACCAATACTCCGAGGTCCTTCTCCTCCTCTGTTTCTTCCAACTGATGTGTCCCCAGCTTATAACAATACTTATTGTTATTAATCTCTAAATGCATGACCTTGCATTTTTCACTATTAAATTTCATCCTATTACTATTACTCCAGTTTACAAGGTCATCCAAATCTTCCTGTATGATATCCCGGTCCTTCTCTGTATTGGCAATACCTCCCAGCTTTGTGTCATCCACAAACTTTATTAGCACATTCCCACTTTTTGTGCCAAGGTCAGTAATAAAAAGATTAAATAAGATTGGTCCCAAAATCGAACCCTGAGGAACTCCACTAGTAACCTCCCTCCAGCCTGATAGTTCACCGTTCAGTACGACCCATTGTAGTCTCCCCTTTAACCAGTTCCTGCTCCACCTTGCAATTTTCATAATGATCCCCATCTTTTCCAATTTAGCTAATAATTCCCCAGGTGGAACCGTATCAAATGCCTTACTGAAATTGAAGTAAATTAGATCCACTGCATTTCCTTTGTCTAAAAAATCTGTTACCTTCTCAAAGAAGGAGATCAGGTTGGTTTGGCACTATCTACCTTTTGTACTGTATCACGTGGATAAGTTTTTATGCTGCTTTGTAATCATTCCATCACAACTTTTGGCATTCTCTATCAAGGGATATTGTTCATTCAAACTGCTCGGTGACATTCTGATAATTGAATGATACAAATTTCTATTGACATCTACGCTAGTAAATCTGTACATTTACAAGAGATCCAAACTAACATGATTCCAAAAATATGCCATCCATCATCTCTGAGGAATTTTATTTTTGGCCACAATTCCTTTTTATCCCTCGCTCTCATTTCCCATTTTGAACTTCCACAACTTTGCAAACTCCATTTATACAGTACAACCCCTGAGTTTACAGATTCATTAAAAATTCTTGCTAATGGGCTTGCAATTTCATGTGCCAGTTCCTTTAATATTCTTGGATGAAGATTATCTGGGCCCTCCGATTTAGTCCCATTAAACTTTTCGAGTTTGGCTTCTACCTCAGATGTGGTAATATCTACCTCCCATTTGTCATCCTACCGTTATCCCTAAGCTCCTCATTAGCCTCATTAAAGACTGAGGCAAAGTATTTGTTTAGATATTGGTCCATGCCTAGATTATCCTTAACCTCAACTCCATCCTCAGTGTTTAGCGGTCCCACTTCTTCTTTCTTTGTTTTCTTCTTATTTATACATCTATAGAACCTTTTACTATTGGTTTTAATTCCCTTTGCAAGGTCCAACTCTACATGGCTTTTGGCCTTTCTCACTTTATCCCTACATGTTCTGATCCCAATAAGGTAGCTTTCCTTGCTGATCACTCCCATCTTCCACCGTTTGTAGGCTTTCTGCTTTTTCTTAATCATCTCTCTCAGATGCTTGCTCATCCAGCGTGGTCTAGAACTCCTGCCTATGAAATTTTTCCCCTTTCTTGGGATGCAGGCTTCTGATAGTTTCTGCAACTTTGTCTTGAAGTAATTTCAGGCCTCCTCCGCCTTTAGATCCACAAGTTCTTCAGTCCAATCCACTTCCCTAACTAATTTCCTTAATTTTTTTAAGTTAGCCCTTTTGAAATCAAGAACCCTAGTCACAGATCTATTTTTGTTTATCCTTCCATTTAGTTTAGAATAAGGCATGATATTATCCTAAGGTTTGTTGTACAAATGATATCCTATGCTGCTAAAGATGCAATGGAGAATCCAGCTGGAGCTCAAGTCTATGTCCTCCAACTGAGGAGAAGGATCAGGGCAAATATTTGGGCAAAAAATGACTCTCTCTAGGTTCAGCATATGTGGGGATGTAAACATAGGAAATCTGCCACACCTGAAGTAATGCTATTTGTATCCCCATCATGTAGGCACTGCAAACTAACTACTGTTCACTACAATCCCATGAGTCAGATGCAAACTGCTAGGCCCTAGCAGTGACCTCTGGACACATCACCAGGAAAATCTTTATTGCTGTTATCTGGATCAAGCCCTGCTCTGACTGTTACCAGGGTTCTCCTGCCGCCTGCTGCCTGCCGCGAGGGCTCCGCTCCGGTCGGCGGTGAGGGAAGGAAGAGGACTGCCCTGCAGGGTGCTCTGGTTCTCCGTGACGCCGCCCCCTACAGGGCGGCCGGAGCGGAACAACAACAACAACAAAAAAAAAGCGGCCGTGCCGCCCTAGGATTGGGCAGAATGCCGCCTCCAACAATCTGCCGCCCCAAGCACCAGCTTGCTCAGCTGGTGCCTGGAGCCGGCCCTGTATACTGCATAGCACTCACTCATGCATCCCGGTAGATGTAGGGCTTTTTACTCAGAAAATCCAGTTTCTGGAGAATGATGAGAGACAAAAACCTCAGCTGTAGAACCTGATTCCTAGCCATTAAACCATGAGAAGTAAGAGCTCATTGATTCAAGTTTGCGCAATCCTGTGAGTATCCAATCCCCAAAAGCTACTGCTTTGCATTTCCAAGCAGGGATATTAGAGTGCTTGCGCAATTAAGCATTAGCAATTTAAGCCTCACCTTCTGTGAAGAACATAGGAAATATCTGTATTATTTTTTATGAATGTCGTGTATCTATTTATAGCTCTGTGGGTCTATGGTCTATGTATTAGTAGGAACATTGTGAATAGATCGAGGGAGTGATTATTCTCCTCTGTTCGGCACTCCTGCATTCTAAGTCATTGTAGTCCTTGAAATGTAAAAAGTACTGTTTAGTTCTTCATGTAATTATTATTAGAGGTAAAGAAAAGGAAGTGGGCACCTGACCAAAAAAGCCAATGGGAAGGTAGAACTTTTTAAAATTGGGAAAGAAACTTTCCCTTTGTCTGTCGTTCTCTGGGCTGCAGGGACACTGAATAGAAATGCTATAAGCAGAAATGCTGTGTAAGGTTTGAACCAGGTATGAAAAATTATTTTCCATACCTAGAAGAAATAATGTGGATTGGGAATGTTTAGTTAGAAGCTATCAGGTTTATATTTTATTTTGGCTTTTGGATCTCCTCTGTGCTAATCTCTGATGCTTTTGTTTCCTTGTAACCTTTAAGCTGAACACCCAAGAAAGCTATTTGGGGTGCTTAATTTTTGTAATTGTTTTTTTTTTAAGATCTAGCAAAAAGCCTAAGTTCCAGATGTATTTTTTCCCTTTTTGTTTTTAATAAAATTTACCATTTTTAAGAACAGGATTGGATTTTTGATGTTCTAAGAGGTTTATGCATGTTGTTTAATTAGCTGGTAGCCACAGCTAATTTCCCTTGTTTTCTTTATCAGCTCTTCCCTGGAGGGGTGGTGAAAGGGCTTGAGGGTACCCCATAGGGAGGAATTCCCAAGTGCTCCTTCCTGGGTTCAAAGGTGGGGTTTTTTTTTGCATTTGGGTGGTGGCAGCATTTACCAAGCCAAGATCAGAGAAAAGCTGTAACCTTGGGAGTTTAATACAAGCCTGGAGTGGCAAATATTCATTTTTAGAATTCTTGTGGGCCCCGACTTTCTGCGCTCAGAGTGACAGAGTGGGGATTTAGCCTTGACAGCACCGAGTCTCAGAGCCTGGGGCAATAGACTGGCGCCGGCAGGGCTTGGGCTAAGGGGATCAATATAGCCATGTAGAGGTCTGGGTTTGGGCTGCAGCCTGGGCTCTGAGACTCACCCCCACTGCAGGTTTTCAGAGCCTGGGCTCCAGCCCAAATGTCTGCCATGCCATTTTTACCCCTCTGGCCTAAATCCCCCCAAGCTCAGGTCAGATAACTTGGGCCAGCCATGGCCTTGCCTTGGGTCTTTTATTTCAATGTAGATGTGCCCCCTGACTGCCCAAGTCTGGGTGTGGGTTCCACTGGCTAGCATGGTGCTAGAAGTGAGGCATTGCAATGTCTAAGTCCCTTTGTAGATCCAGCCCTAAGTCACTATTTTACATGCAGACTTTGTTTTAGTCTATGGAATTCACTAAAATAGTATCTACCCACCTTCAACAAGGAAAATACAGCACAGTTTTATTCCAAACACAAAGATCCTCATTCTGATTGATCTTACAGATAAATCTTTGCACACCCTCATATGTTATAATATCACAGTTCAAAGACCTAGCATGAAATAATGGGCTACACAAGATCTAAGCATTAAACTGTAAATCAGCTGCAGTCATTATTATTTTGTCTTTCAAAAACTACAGTAGCAATTTTGAAGTCTTCTAAAATGTACACATTCACTGAAAATTTTTCTCTGTGCCTCTTTTATCTCTGTATTTTTCAGGCTGTAAATGAAGGGATTGGCCAGAGGAGTCAGAATTGTGTAGCAGACAGGGAACACTTTGTTGAGGTCTCTGAGTGTATTGGTTTTTGGTAGCAGATACACAATGATCAGGGTCCCATAGAAAATTGTCACCACGATCAGGTGAGAGGAGCAGGTGGAAAAGGCCTTTTGCCTCCCAGTGTTGGAAGGGATTCGCAGGATGGTGGAGATGATACAAACATAGGACATCACAGTTAAAGCAAATGGGGGCAATGTGAATAAAGCAGACAGAATGGTAAGTACAAGTTCCAAATGGTAGATATCATTGCAGTAGTGATTTATTATTTGTGTAACTTCACAGAAGAAATGATCAATTTCATTGGGACCGCAGAAAGTTAATTGTAATAACATACCTGTTACTATGGAACTAGCCAATAACCCACTTACCCAAGACCCAGCTGCTAGTTGGAGGCAGAAACAGCCATTCATAAAGGCTGCATAATTCAGTGGTTTGCATATTGCTAGATACCGGTCATAAGACATCACGGCTAGGAGATAACTCTCAGTGGCTGCAAAGAAACCAACAAAGTAACATCGTGTGATGCAGCCACCAATGGAATTGGTTTTGTCCCCAGTCAGGAGACCGGCCAGCATCCTTGGCAGGATGGTGGAGGTGTAGCAGGTCTCCAAGCAGGACAAGTTCCCCAGGAAAAAGTATATGGGGGTGTGAATGTGCTGATCAGCCACAACTAGCACAATTATGAGGATGTTCCCAGCCATGGTCACAATGTAAATCACAAGAAGCAGCAGGAAGGGAAGGGTCTGCAGTTTGGGGATAGCCCCAAATCCCAGGAGGTTTGATTTCCCTGTTCCGTGTTTGCCATGGGGGAAATGAACCAAACCCTGCAATAGGACGAGAACAACATTTATTAAACATCAATATCACATTAGCAATTTAAATGCATTAATGTTCAAAGGATCCCTCTCCTTCAGGCCACCAACCCAAATACTGAGCTCAGCACACAGGCAGACATACACACATACAATGGAATTTAACAGTATTGGAGACTGAGTGAGAAAAACTGACATAAACGAGCTGCTGAAGCAAGCTCAGATTTGTGTAAAGACCCTAATTTATCTGATTGACAACACATTAAGCCTTGCTTCCTTTATTCTGCTCCAAAGAACTGACACTAGTGGTTTGCAGTGAGTAACCAGTTCACCGGGTGGAGCCTGGCATATGAAGGTGTAGGCACTCGATTCCCTGAATTCAGCTAGCCTTGTTTGGGCTGGTAAAACACCCCACAGTTTGCTGGCTGAGAATTGGCTTGGTTTAAACTTCAGAAGCTTCCTTTGTCCCCAACAGAAACCAAGGCTCCGTGAATGTGGTTGTGCCCTAAGCCTTTTTAGGTGGTCATTTGATTTCATTTGTACTGTATCACGTGGATAAGTTTTTATGCTGCTTTGTGATCAGTCCATCACAACTTTTGGCATTCTCTATCAAGGGATATTGTTGATTCAAACTGCTTGGTGACATTCTGATAATTGAATGATACAAATTTCTATTGACATCTAAGCTAGTAAATCTGTACATTTACAAGAGATCCAAACTAACATGATTCCAAAAATATGCCATCCATCATCTCTGAGGAATTTTATTTTTGGCCACAATTCCTTTTTATCCCCCGCTCTCATTTCCCATTTTGAACTTCCACAACTTTGCAAAAGTTACCAAGAGGTAAAAGGAAAAATGAAAGTCTGGTGCCTTGCCATTCCGTAATTTAAAAAAAAAATTGAGAATTTCTTTTTAAATATACTGTATGGCAAAAAGAAAAAAAGAATAAGATCAGAGGAAGATTGGGAAGAAATGTCACTGTTCATTTTACTGCACCCAGTAGTAAACAGGAAAAAAAAGAGAGAGGAAAAAGGCAAAAAATTTTAATTTAACATATTCATTTTTTTAAGTAATCAAAAGTTTGAAAAAATGTAAACTGCTTCTTGATAAATGGAAAAAAAATTACAAATGTAAATATTTTTCACTAAATTTCCATTTTTCAACCAATTCTAATGACAATTAAGGGAATATTGGAAATATGTAAATAGAAATTAGTTGTCATGATTAACAAAGCAAAGATAGAAGTAAAGGGAAAAAATAAAGAAAGGGAAAATGTAGGGTTAACATTAAGTAATATATCCTGACAGTGAGAAGTTGCAGGCTGTGAAACTGCCTTGCTTGGAAGCCAATAATTAGACAGTAGAACTCATTGCCACAAGAAATTTTGGGGCCAAGAACTTAATATGTTTCAAAAAGGAACTTGACTTTTATATGAAAAATAGGAATGTTTTCTTTTCTTGAAAAAAGAAGTCTGACAGGATATCTGATAATAGTCTTCAAATATGTGAAGGGTTATTATAAAGAGGATGATAATTAATTTTTCTCCATGTTCACTGAAAGTAGGATAAGAAATAAGAGCTTAATCTGCCAGTAGGAAGAGTTTATTATTCTCTCCGGAGTTTAACAACAGTTCTGGAAGAGATCTTACACCTTGGAGTTAAGGGTTTAAGTCCATCTCTAACTATTAAAGATCAGGATGAAAACTGATTGTGGGGGCAGGAGGGAGACAGATCATTCCACAAGTGTTGCTGCGGAGTTCTTACACATTTCTCTGCAGCCTCTGGGGCTGACACTGTCAGAGAGAGGATACTGGGCTAAACGGACCTGGGATCTAGTCCAGTCTGGAAATCCCTGATCTTCTTATCAGGTTATTTAAAAGTAAAGTGGAGCAGACACTAATAAATGTACTCTTGGGGCCACTCCTGGCAAAGAGATGGATTGGAGGGGACAGCGTTTTCCTTTCTTGTCTCTAGATTCTATAATTCTGTTCTAGGTTCCACCAGTGATGGTGAGAAATAGCGTGACATTTCCCTTCTCTTTGCCTCAGTCTCCCCATTGGTTACATGGTGATATTATCACTGATGGACATCTCGCAGGGAAGGTAAGACTGAATCAACACTGACTGCACAGGCCTTTGATGGGCAGGTTCTATCTGAGTGTGTGGCAGCAGCAGTACAAGGGATAACATTCACCTTCAACGACAGGATATTCAGCCTCCAGTTTAGCTTGGATCTCTCTGGGTTTGGTGACCAGGATTTAGGTTCTTCTCTCTCGTTTCTCCCCAGAAATTCAGTTCTCTCAGTACAGAGACCTGGGTCCACCTGATAGGATGAGCAGGTGCCGAGAACTCACTTGGACCATGTCCTTGTCCCTCTGTTGACAGGGTGTGGTTGCCTCCTCATAGAATCATAGAAATGTAGGGCTGAAAGGGAGCACAAGAGGTCAACTTGTCCCGCCCCTGTTGCTGAGGCAGGAACAAACAATCCTAGACCATCCCTGACAGGGGTTTGTCTAACCTGCTCCTAAAAACCTATGAAGATGAGGATTCCACACCCTCTCTTGCTAACCAGTTCCAGTGCTTAACTATCCGTAGAGTTAGAAAACTTTTCCTAATATCTGCTTGATGCAGTATGAACCAATTCCTTCCTTCTCTTCCATATTTGTATTCTTTGCTGGAGAAGGCTGTGTGTCCCCTGATGCCACTTCTGAGTGGGTTTTCCATCGGCTGACTCTGGGGAGTTCCTGCTGTTTTCACAACCCAGAATTGGCAGAAACACCTGTCCTGATTAAATCAGCCTGCTTAGCTCAAAGGAGTTCTTTCCTCTCTGTGGGATGACTTAATTGCATTACGGTTCTGATGTATCTAGCAAGGTCCTGATCCTGCTATCCCAAAGCAGATGAATAATCCTTTCTTATGAGAGCAGTCCCATCCCCTTCAATGAGACAACATGCACCCATAAGTGTTGTCCAAATGGGTCAGGTGTGGTGGACAGTAAGACTTCCCTGATTGCCTTCTATGATGAGATAAGGTTCTGTGGATATGGGGAAAGTGGTGGACGTGATATATCTTGACTTTAGCAAAGATTTTGATATGGTCTCCTACAGTATTCTTGCCAACAAGTTAAAAAAGCATGGATTGGATGAATGGACTATAAGGTGGATAGAAATCTGGCTAGATTGTCAGGCTCAATGGGTAGTGATCAATGGCTCGATGTATAGTTGGCAGCCAGTATCAAGCGGAGTGCCCCAGGGATCGGTCCTCGCACTGGTTTTGTTCAACATCTTTATTAAAGACCTGGATGATGGGATAGACTGCACCCTCAGCAAGTTCGCAGATGACACTAAGCTGGGGGGAGAGGTAGATACGCTGCAGAGTAGGGATAGGGTCCAGAGTGACCTAGACATATTGGAGGATTGGGCCAAAAGAAATCTGATGAGGTTCAAGAAGGACAAGTGCAGAGTCCTGCTCTTAGGATGGAAGAATCTCATACACCGCTACAGTCTGGGGACCAACTGGCTAAGCAGCAGTTCTGCAGAAAAGGACCTGGGGATTACAGTGGATGAGAAGCTGGATATGAGTCAGCAGTGTGTCCTTCTTGCCAAGAAGGCTAACGGCATATTGGGCTGCATTAGTAGGAGCATTGCCAGCAGATTGAGGGAAGTGATTATTCCCCTCTATTCGGCACTGGTGAGGCCACATCTGCAATATTGCATCCAGTTTTGGGCCCGCCACTACAGAAAGGATGTGGAAACATTAGAAAGAGTCCAGCGTAGGGCAACAAAAAGGATCAGGGGACTGGGGCACATAACTTTTGAGGAGAGGCTGAGGGAACTGGGATTGTTTAGTCTGCAGAAGAGAAGAGTGAGGGGGGATTTGATAGCAGCCTTCAGCTACTTGAAGGGGGGGTTCCAAAAAGGATAGAGCTCGGCTGTTCCCAGTGGCAGCAGATGACAGAACAAGGAGCAATGGTCTCAAGTTGCAGTAGGGGAGGTCTAGGTTGGATATTAGGAAACACTATTTCACTAGGAGGGTGGTGAAGCACTGGAATGGGTTACCGTGGGAGGTGGTGGAATCTCCATCCTTAGAGGTTTTTAAGGCCCAGCTTGACAAAGCCCTTGCTGGGATGATTTAGTTGGGGTTGGTCCTGCTTTGAGCAGGGGGTTGGACTAGTTAACCTCATGAGGTCTCTTCAAACCCTAATCTTCTATGATTCTATTATTCTATTGTCTAGTTCAGGGATCTCATAGACTCATAGACTCATAGACTTTAAGGTCAGAAGGGACCAATATGGTCATCTAGTCTGACCCCCCGCATGATGCAGGCCACAAAAGCTGACCCCCCCACTTTCCCTTAACTCTGCTGTTGAAGTCTCCAGATCGTGATCTAAAGACTTCAAGTCGCAGAGAATTTTCCAGCTTGCGACCCCTGCCCTATGCTGCGGAGGAAGGCGAAAAACCTCCAGGGCCACTGCCAATCTACCCTGGAGGAAAATTCCTTCCCGACCCCAAATATGGCGATCAGCAGAACCCCAAGCATACAGGCAAGGTTCTCTAGCCAGACCCTCATTTTACCAGCGATGGCCGTTATTGCCTAATTGATTAGAATCCCGTAATCCCATCAAACCATTCCCTCCATAAACTTATCTAGCCTAATCTTGAAGCCAGAGAGGTCTTTCGCCCCCACCGTTTCCCTCGGAAGGCTGTTCCAAAATTTCACCCCTCTGACGGTTAGAAACCTTCGTCTAATTTCAAGCCTAAA